ACACACACACACACACACACACACACACACGCTTGCGCGTGCATCTCCCTCCTCAAGCCACAATCTCGAAGATGGTACAGGAGATGCTGCCCGACGATGTGACCTGCGCGCGCGACGCCTATGACGTCCTGATGTCCTGCTGCATCGGTGCGTGCCCCCTTGCTTTCGCCTCCCTCCTCCCCCCTGCCCTCTCCCCCGCGCACATGCATCGATGCCTGCCCGCCTGACACGCCGACCCATGCACACGCGCGTCGGCAGAGTTTGTTCACCTCCTGGCGGCCGAGGCCAATGAGATCTGCGAGGCCGAGCAGAAGCGCACAATCCTGCCGGAGCACATTGTTGCGGCGCTCAAGCGCCTGGAATTCGGCGAGGAGTTCCTGAAGCCCGTGGAGGAGGCCTTCCCCGAACACAAGAAGGACGCCAAGGAGCGGGTGCGTGTCCCTTGGCCCGCCTCTCTTCTTTTTTTTTCGCCCCCCCCCCCTCGCTTCCTCGGCCATGCATCTGCCCGGACAACGCCCGCTCGCTCACCCGCACGCACAACGCCCCTGCACCAGACAACCGAGCGGCGCAACCAGCGCGAGAAAAGCGTCGTCACCGATGAGATGCTCCGGCAGCAGCAGGCGCTGCTGGACAAGGCCCGCGAGAAGTTCTTCAATTAGACACGGCTGCCCGAATTGAATACACCACAAAAGACACACATACACCCACGTGCAAGGAGGAGAAGCCCCGTATATGTATAAAAATAGGCCAAGAGGGCACTTCGTGTCAGGCTGCACGCGGTTTTCGGTGCACTTTTTTTTTTTTCGGACACAGGGGGGAAAGCGAGCCGGGGGGTCTTGTGCGCCGATTGCCGATCGCCGATCGCCGGCCGTCAGACGGATGCCTACACAGCGGGACCCCCCCCCCCCCCCCCCTGCCCCCCGGCACCTCCGCCCCGGCTACAGGTCATCCGGCCGGAGGGCCAGCCCTGGCAGGCGGTCCGCCACGCAGACCACCCGCCGGCGGTCGGTCGACGTTAGCAGCACCGCCCCGCGAGCCGGGACCAGCGCCACATGCGCCGGGGCCTGGTCCTCGAGGCCGGGACCGAACAGAGCCCCCCCCGTGCCGAGAGGCCACTCATGGCGGATGGCCGCCGGCAGGCGAGCAACCCCGGCCAGGGGAGAGGGCTCCAGTTGCGGGTGGTCCAGCAGGTGCAGGTCCAGCAGCGCAAAATGGCGCCCGGGCCCGGGCGGCCCATCGGCCACCAGCACCAGGCACATGGTCGGATCGACCAGCGTCAGGTCCAGGATGGCGGCCCAACGCCGCGGCATATCCAGCACCAAGTGCAGACCGGCCACACAGGGGATGGGCCCGCGGCTGGCATCCGGCCCGGGCCCCGGGCCCCGGTGGACCCGGCCACAGGTGGCCACGCAAACCAAGTGCACCCGACCGGGCTGGGCAAAGGCCCCGCCATTGCTCGCCGGCTGGGGCTGCTCAATGGCCGGGTGCAGGTGCAGGTGGTGCTCGGCCGGGGTGCCGGCCTCGGGCGGATCGCCTGGCGCCCGACACCGGAGCCGGGGCTCGAACACCGGCGGCAGGGCCCCCTCCAGCAGGAAGCCCGCTCCCGGGCGGACCCCCGCCCCGGGGCCCAGGACCAGCCCCTCGGCCGGACTGGATGGCAGGAGGCTGGCCCCCAGGCCGGGGTCAGGGCCGCGGGGCGCCTGCCGCCAGGCCCCACTGGCCCGGAGGTGGAAGTCCGCCTGCAAGTGGGACAGCTGCTCGCGCAGGGCCAGCAACCCCGATGCCAGGCTGCCTCGGGCAGATGCGGCGAGGATGCCGGCCAGGCCCGGGACCGGGCGCCCGGCAACCGGCCCCGGCCCGGCGATGAAGAACCCGAAGTACTCGTCGAAGCGGCAGTCGGCCCCGCGCACGGCCATGCCGCCGGGGTGGACCGGCCCCTGGGCCGGCCGGCCGACAAACAGCCGCTCGATGGTGGCCGTCAGCTGGGCCTGGGAGAAGGCCTCGCCCGAGGAGGCCGAGGGGTCGGCCGAGCGGGCGGCCGCCGCGGCTGCCGCCGCCGCCGCCGCCGCCCGCGCACCCTTCTCCCGGGCCGGCCCGGCGTCGGCATCCTCGTCGTCGCTGGCGCCATCGGTGGCCGCCTCATGCAGGGCCGCGTCGATGCCCTGCAGCCAGGCGAAGAAGTGCACCAGCTGCTCGGTGTGCGACTCGACGGCCACCCGGCAGTGCTCGAACTGCGACATCAGCTCCGCCGTGGTGCTGATCATCCGGCGCAGGGTGGGCTCCGAAAGGGCGAGCCCCGGGCCGGCCGCCGAGCCGGGCCCCGGGGCCGACAGCGGCAGCAGCAGCTCCAGCTCGATGAGCAGCGCGCGCAGCGAGGGGAGCGTGAAGTCCGAGATGATGTTCAAGATGCTCTGGCTGGCGAAGCGCAGCAGGCGCACGAGCTTCCGCCGGCGCTGTGCATTTCCCCGCGCGCCAGGGGGAGAGGCAGAGACGGAAAGCGCCAGGCGGCGAGGGAGCGAGGGAGGGAGGGAGGGAGAATGGAGCAGCCCGGCAGGACGGCGCGCCACCCCGGACAGGGGTCAGCCACATGTGGACCGGCAGGGCCGGCGATACAGCGAAGAAGGAGGGGCAAAATGAATGAGGCAGGGGCCAGAGGGAGGGGGCAAAAAAAAAAAAAGGCCCACAAAATGCCTCCGGGCTGGCGCACCTCCGCATGGTACGACGAGGACAGGAGGTCCGCCACATAGCCCGGCGTCAGGCCGGTGGACAGGGCACTCAGCAGGGACAGCCGGATGCGGCTCAGCAGGCGCTGCTCCGGGTCGCCGGCAGCCTCCCCGGCCGGGTCCTCGGCGTCCTCATCCGCCGGCATGGCGGCGGTGGCGGCCCGCGAGAAGCCCAGCAGCTCGGCCTGCACGCAGGACCAGGCATGCCGGCTCCGGGCATAGGTGGTGGCCGCCCAATTGAGCAGGACCTCCGCCCGGCGGGTGTACACGCTGAGCTCCTTCAGCAGCGGTCGCGCATGATGCAAGTCCCCCGAGAGGAAGGCGAAGGCCTCGGCCGGCTGGGGCCCCGGCCGCAGGCACAGCACGCTGGCCAGCGGCCCGCCCGTGGCCGACCAGGACAGGCAGGCCGACGTGCCGGCCGCCATGGCATCGGTGCCCGGCGCCGCCGCGCCCGGGGGAGGGATGTCGGGCCCGGTGGCCGGCACGCCGGTCAACCGGGCCGGCCCGGCCGCCGCCCCGAAGAACATCCCCAGGCTCAGGGCATTGGGCCAGAACACCGAGAAGGCCGGAGTCCGGCCAGCGGCCCGGTCAGCCGGCCCATCCAAACATGCCAGCACCACATCCGGCGAGGTGGCCGGCTCGGCGGCCGCCCGGCCCACCAGCCTGGGCAGCTCCGGCGGCGACACCGCCAAAAACCCGGCCGGCAGGTCCGACGACTGGAGCTCCAACGCGTCGAGCGGCGCCGGCCGCGGGGGCGGGCACAGGCTGCGCGCAAATTCCTCCTTGAGCGACTGGCCATCGGTCGGGCGGTCAGTGCCGGGGCATCACTTGTCTTTGGACTTGGCACCGGCCGGTGCTCGACCCCCCCCCCCGGGCCGGCTGGCCGGCACGCGCGCCGACGCGAGCCCACACCGAAGCCGCAGCGACAGGCGAACGTACCGTCATGCGGCCGCTACCCATGTCAGGCGGCGGGATCTTGGCCAGCGAGTCGTGACGGCGCCCCCCCGGCATGCAGCGCTCCGCAGGATGCCGCGACGCCAGGAGAATGGCCGCGTCCGCGCTGAGGGACACGGCGAAGCGCGCCCCACAGGCGAACGACAGGAGGCAGGCGCGCGGGGCCGTCAGCCAGGCAACCGAGCAGGGGAGGCATGCGCCATCGCCAGGCTGCGTGACATCCACCGCCGGAGATGCCGGGCCCTCCGACAAAGACCCCACCATCGCCAGCAGGTCCTCCGGCCGGAGGGCCCACACCAGGTCCCCGGAGTGCACGGAAAACAGGACCACCAGACGGAGCCCGGCGCTGGACTTGGGGCTGCTGCTGCTGCTGCTGCTGCGGCTGTCACCGCTGCCAGGGCGCAGAAACAGCGGCCCGTGCCCGCCGCCAGCCGCCGGCGCCCGGAGGTCAAAGCATGCCAGGGCCAGCTCGTCATCCGGACTGATGTCCAGCCGGGTGGGGCTCGGCAACAGCGACAGGCCGCCCCGGTGGCCTGACACCTCAGCCGCCAGCCCCGGCGCCAGGTGCCGGCGCCAGTAGCCCGAGGTGAGGAGCACATCGCGCAGGGCGCTGCTTGCGGCCTGTGCCATGCTCACAAGATGGGGAGGGGGGTGCGTCAGAAGAGCGGCACCGGGCGGGGGCAGGAACAAAAAGATGGATGTGTAAGGGCGGGCGGCGGAGGCGCGGACATGAGGAGAGGAAGTGCCCGGGCCCCTCGGCGGGGAGTGTCCCGCGCACGCGTCCTGAAAAAAAACAAACAAATAAGCGCCAGGCACACCGCACACACCGGCACCGAAAGGCCCCTCCCCCCCCCCCCGCACCGGCCGAAGAAGTATGCGCGAGCTCGCCGGCCGAGCAATCCCGCCGGCATCGGGCCGCGGGAAGCGATGCCAATTGCCAACGCATTCGGGCGCCCGGGATCCAGGGCGCGAGAGTGCGCGCGGCGGTCCCGGCGCCCGGTTCCTGACCCTCCCCTGAAACGCATAGACACACACACAGACACACACACACACACACAGGCACACACAGGCGGGCGTCACCGCCCTGTGGCCCTGTCTCTGCCAGCAGGTACATGCCCCATACAAATGACATAGGTATATTGGTGAATGTGCCCACGGGCCCGGGCCTTCGTTCCGCGCCCAGCAGGCGAAGGACGGCAGGCAGGGAAGATGAACATCAACAGGGAGCCGGTGACACACCGGCACCATCAAAGGTGCGGCCCTTCCCCTAGGCCAGGGACGGGCCGCCGAAGCTCTCCTCGAACAGGCGCTGCGAGAGACGCATGTACTTCTCGACCTCCTGAAAGACCACCGCCAAGAGAGGACCCGAAGAAGTGGCGGCACCAGCGCGCATGTGCGACCGGAAGTGGCAAGGCCCCCCCGGGGGACGAGAGTGTCAGTCACGGAGGGGCGAGGGCAGGGGAAAAGAAAAAGGCACGAGGACAAAGGGGGGGGGGGGGAATGGCACGAACCGCTGGCTCCGAATCACTGAGCGGCACGAAGCGCTCCTTGGTGCCGGACGGGTAGGCCGACAGGGGCGAGGTGGCCGCGGCCGGGCTGGCATCCGGCACACCGGACAACGAGGACGCCGGCGGCGGGATGGCCGACCGGCTGGTGGTCGACGACCGCGACGACCGCCGGAACAGCCCGCCGTCGGAGGCCGACGTGGAGGCGGCCGCGGGGGCGGCCGACTCGGCGTGGATGTGCACCGAGCTGGCCGACGGGGTGACCGCGGCCGAGCGCTTGCCGGTGGCCACGCTGGAAACCACATTGGCCAGCGAGGTGGGCACATAGTAGATCATCAGGCCGCTCTGGTGCAGGAAGGACCCGGCATCGCGCCGCGCCGGGGAGCCGAGCATCGGCGCCGGGCTGGCAGGGGCCGAGGCCGCCGCGACCGCCGCCCCGGCGCCCTGCTTCGGCGGGGCCACCAGCACCCAGTCGACCAGGCGATCGAAGGTGACAAACCACTTGACCGAGGGCCCGCGCGCGTCCACATACAGGATGCCCTGGCGCGCGAAGTACAGGCTGGCCGACTCGCGGCGGATGTCCAGATGGTTGATGTAGTCCCAGGTGAAGAACTGCGA